CGACACCGAAAAAGGCGCGCAGAGCGGAGGCGGGACTTCCGACACGAAGCGAACGGGCCACAGGTTGGATTTGAAACTGGGCCGCTGCAGCAAGCACTCAGCTCCTGGGTACGATGGACACCAGCCTCTTCCAACCTAAGCTAAACCGGCACCCATGATTAATTGCTTTCTTGAATGCCCTGGCCCATTACACATCAATTGCTACAGATGAGTCAGCATGCACCAATACAGCGCACTGAACACTACAAACTGAAATGGAATCTTAGCCATCATCTCATTAATTTTATTATTTACACCTGCGCCATGTGTCCTGTGCCACACCTGTGCCATTTATACCTGTAACATGTCAAAATGTCTACAGTGAAAAAGGACTACTGTGTGTACATGATAAAAGATGGACCAAATTAGAGACCTTGAAGGTTCTTCAGCATGAGAACAAGAGTGACTCAGAAACATGTACAGCACATTTTTGAAATAGCTGCCGTTTGTGTGCAATCTGAAGCGGGTCATAGCTGTCCTTCAAATTCTAACAATGTGGGAGATAATGGGGCGATGATACAAAAGGGCTGCTGCTTGACCTGCAGGAGATGTCTGTGTCTGTGAGGTCAAATTTTCCAAGGATAAGCTCACATTACAGAATTGTGTGTTTGTGCCTTTGGTTCTTCTGCTCTTTCCAAGTAGCTTATGACACATCTTACAAGACATACAACGGGGTTGCAGTCAGGGCAATTTTCCAAGTCATGACAAGTTACAAAGAACTGCAAGCGAAGGATGTTGAAACTGATTCATGACCAGGATCAATGAGTGCATTTGTTTCCAGCCTAAAGAAAAGCTCTACTTTTTGTTGCTTCTTATTAATTGTCTCAATGGATGTATTATTTTATTGTGTTCTGTTTATTGGATCAAAAACAGGCCTATGTTAAAGGAGTTTTTATGAAGAGGAATGTTTTATGTTGTCCAGTATATGCTTGTTTCTCTGAAGATGTGAAGGGATAAATAAACAATGCATTACATTATCTTATCTTATCTTATGACAATAATTACTAAATTAACAGGGTGGCATAATGATTGTTTTGGTCACAACATGCAATTAAATGTTTGCGCTCTACAGATGCAACGTAGTAAGTGGTATGGACTCTATATGGAGGCACTTCCTTAAACAAGGGGGTACTTATACAAAATTGCAGGGTATTTTGGGACCACGTGGCTACGCCTACACAGGATGTCCCACGAGCGGTGACGTGAAGCGGTTCCAGTTAGCTCGCTCGTGCAGTGTGGTCCAGCACATGGGGGAAAGTTGGAGAAAAAGTTTCGAAGCGATGATGTTTTAACACAAAACTAGTTTGTGTAGCAAGTCGGCGTATCTGCCGGGCGTGTGTCGCTCAATTCCACAAATCCCTCTGTGACATAGCGTTTTTTTTT